AGTCTATAGCAGTCTGATTTATTGTTAAGAGATTGTTGTAACTATTAACTTAGAGAAAATTAGCATCCTCAAGTTTTCGTATTTCTGAAATTTACCGTTATACGGGAAGCGGGTGTAATATTAGTTGGATTTGAATAATTTTTAACGAATGGCTTTTCCGTACCAAGGTTATTAAGTGCACCGAGTTTGGTGGAAATCGATAAAGTGGTTACAGAGGTACAAATTTGTGGTCATAAGTGGGCGGCACCACGCCCCTTATCCAAAAATTTACAATAATATAATTTTCTGCTAAGTGGTTATGGCAATCATCGATTTTAAGTGAATTAGCTCAGTAGATATTGATTTATCGCAGTTTTCGTGTTTCTCTCAGTTACCGTTATATGGTAGGTGGGCGTGGTTATTGCCCGACTTCAAAGATTTTCAGCAGATTTCTTAGATAGACTCTGGGCAAGGCTCGTACCGAGCATTTCATCATAAGTGGGCGGCGTCACGCACAGTTTCCAAAAATTCCATAATAATATTTTTTCTAACAAAATTCTACCTCACATACTAATTTTTAACAATTTGCATCCAATATTTATTGAAATATATCGCAGTTTTTGCATTTTTCGAAAATACCGTTATATAGTAAGGGGCGTGGTTACAGTCCGATTTCACCAGTTTTCAATACCAATCTACCTTGGATTAAGGGCAACGTCCATACCAAATTTCATTGAGATATTTAAATTTTTGCACGCGTCATCGTGAACACGGACGGATGGACGGATAGACAAACATGGCTTAATAGACTTCTCTATTCACTCTGAACGTTTATGTATACATTTGTCTATATCTATCTCGATTCGTTTTGGCTGTTACAAACAACCGTTGTGCACAAGTGCGCTCGGGTATAAAAATATGGAGCCATTTCATATCTCCAAAGAACTTCCACTTACAGGGTTTTTTGCAATATAGGCAACTTTTTTTAAATATCTTATTTATCCGAAAATTTTTATCGAGCTTGAGGCCGTTTTTAATGAAAAACTTATTGTGGAAAAGCAAAAATTGTTATAAGGCCATAAAATAACAAAAACAAATAACTTAAGGACGAGCACACCTAAAAGTTAAAACATTCTAAATATAGAATTATTAACAAAAACCAACAATCACATGATCAAGAGTGGATTGGAGCGGAATAGCTCAGCTTGATTGTGTTGGCTTAACAAATGAAAAAGTGGAAAAAAAGCAACGATAATTTACAAGGCGAACTTAGCACAGTGCGTAGGCCACTGGCTGAGTCAGTGGGATCGTCGGTTCGAATCCTACTGAAAGAAGTCTGATGAGGAAATGTGGTGATTTCCGAAATAGCTATCACTTCTACCATTTTTTGAAATTATTGTTTCTTTCCCACGATAAGTTTTTCATTAAAACCGGCCTCAAGCTCAATAAAAATTGTTGAATATAATTGTTATAAGGCCATAAAATAACAAAAAGAAATATCTTATTTATCGTAAAAATTTATTGAACTTGAAGCCGTTTTATACGTAAAATATTGTAGACATTTTTTTCGCTAATCTTATATATGTATATAAAAAAGGCTGACAATTACCGAACAGATTTAGTTTAAATTTGTACCATTTTCGGTAGGTGGGCTCGAGGTCGAGATATCTCTAAAAACTGCGTTAACAAATCGATTTCATTGAAATCCAGAGCATGCATTTGTCACGTAAAACTTATATTTTATTCGAAAATTGGCCCGATGGGTATTGCTAGAGTCGATATATCTCTAAAAACTATATTTATGTACATATTTAGCGTTTCAATTTAAATTAAGAGCATACAGTGACTCAATCACCACGTGTGGATTTTTTTTTTTAATATTCGTAATATTTTTCGAGCAAAATTTTTTTTGTTATTTTTCTATAAAAATACCATTCAAGCTTCAGACCAGACTAAAATTGTATGGGCTATAAACTGCTTTGTATATCTATGCAGTCTAAAGATTCAAATTAAAAAGTTGAAATTTTGATGAACTTTTGTTGAGTTTTCCTAAATTTTGTATAAAGTTTGAAACTGTGATTTATATGGTTTTGGTCAAAGCTCGGGCGGTATTTTAATAAAAAAGTAACAAACAAAATTTAGCTCGAAAAAGATACGAATTAAAAAAAAAAATCAACACGTGGTAATTTTTTTGAGTCACTGTATATTAACAATGTACTTTTCCGTAAAATTGGTCTGATAGGTATCGCTAGAGTCAAGATATGTATCTTTAAACCCGTATTTGTTCGATGAATCTTACTGAGATCGAAGTAAGTATGTATGTCTAAATTTTTTAAGTACTATTGATTCAAATTAAAAACTAGTTACTGTTTGAAAGACATCAGCAATTCCATCCGTAAACTAACTGATAAATTTCTTATGGTCCCTAAACTCTCCCATTTTTTTTTATTAAAAAATAAACGTTATTTTAGTACTTGATGCACTTTCTATATATTCAGCCTCATTGCGTAAGTCGTAAATTAGGCTGAATTATACGACTCGACAATATTGACATTGCATACTGTCGCGCTGAAATAAGTAATCGACGAAAATCGTCGAAAACTACGCAGTGCTGCCAAGTTTTTCCGTTTTTATACATTAGTCGAGTGGAAATTTTAGGCAATAACATGAAATTTTCGATACGATTCGATTCTCGAAAAATGACATGCATTCGACCCGACACGACTCTCGCAATGAGGCTGATTGTGTAATTTTATTTTTTAACGAATTTTAGGAATCAAATGACTCGTTTTTAGTGGTATAAGTCAATTTTTTTATATGCCGTGATATTAAAGAGTTTGCGTCTACGTTCACGTTAATCAATGAGGATTATGTGTTTAACGCTCTAAATGCGTTAAATTTTACTATGCAATATTTATTTAAATAAAGATTTTTTGGCTCCAAATGGACTTATTCTAGCTTCAAAAACAACATATAACAAATGAGGACCAGCGGAAATTTGAGTACTTATCTTTGTAGACATTAGTAGTGTTTCCTTGGGTTAAATATCCAGCTTAGTTGGCAGCACTAATTTTATACTACTAGCACGAGGAAGACGAAAGTATTAAAATGAATAAATATTCAACACAAAGGCGATTTATGTGAATCAGGTTAAGGTAAACAAATGGCAGAATATTTGTTTGTGTATAAATTCGTTTGCCAGTGCTACCAAACCGTGAAGAAAACACAGCAGATCATAAATCGAACCAGATCTCTATCAGGGTCATATCGTTGTTGTTGCATTTGTGTGCAAATTTTTTATCCGGATCCCGATCATTGTCCAAGGAAACACAGCAATTGGCTTTACCGAAAAGGATTTTTTAATTCACGAATAAATAAAATAAGAAATAACTTCAACTGTTCCGCACAAAATAATTGGCACAGAGAATTTCTCACAATTAGGTAAACAATTTTATTTTAATTTTTTTCCGCTAATATTAAATAAAAAATATAGTTCATCCTAAAACAAAAAAATAAGGATAAAACTTCTAAACTTCCCTGCAAAAATCGTTGGACCATGTAGTCTATTTGTGATATATTGGAGTACTTACAAAAGTGTTCGTCTGTCATGCTGTAGCGGACCAACTCGTGCATCTGGATCAGCTTATTGTTACACGATCACTGTTCGTGTTTTAACGAAATGTGATTAAATTTGATCATTTGAAAGCACATTTGCATGTCTGGCTGTAGCTGAACGTGTAGAGATGCTCGCTGTTATTTGTTAGCTCCCAGCATATTCGGGTTCGAATGCCGTCAGAGGCAACATGCAGTTTTTAATTTTTGCTTTTGGTTTTTATTAATTTCGAAAAAGCATCTGAGAAGTGAAGAACAAAACCGTGTACAAACACAAAAAATATAACAACAATGCCATTGTTAATATGTTTGAGTAGTTTTGTGTTACTCTGATGTAATGCAGAGATGGAGTATATGGTCCTGCCCTAGGACGTCGCATTGTTAATTAGACCATATTTATTATATGAATTGTGGTTAATTTTGGAATACTCCATGGTCCTTAGGGAGTACTCTCTACATGCATTCATGGAGTAGTCGCGATTTTTGCAGGGTTTGTGTAAAACTCGCTAAAATTCAATAAATTTGCAGGGGAGGGATCAAAAGTTTTACGCAGAAATACACGCGGAGGTTTGCCAGTGCCTGCGCAGGGGCATTTAGAAAAAAAACTTTTCTTTTCTGTGCCCTGTGAAATGGTAGTTCGTACTACTAGCTATTACATCTCAGCGCGGCTTGTCTGAAATTGTCTAAATTAGAGCCCAAAATAGAGTTTACATGTGCGGCCATTTAGTCAAGATATTTAAAAACTTAAATAGCATTTCCTTTTCTACCGAAAAATGTTGCCTCTGCAGTGCCCTTTACGTACAAATATTAAGGAAAGCATTGTACCTGGCATCTTTTCACCGTAGGTAACGAAATTTTTTATAGCTCGAACACAATGAAAACGACGAGCTACGGACCACAGCTGTCAAATTATTTTTTTACGTATTCTTATATAGATAATTATATTGGCGACGACAGGGCTACGCGACGACTGTGGTTGTGGTTTTTTCAGTCAAACTCATACAAATTCATGATGTCGCTGCCACGTTCAAAAAATTCATGTCGCCATCGACAAAGCGTTTAGATAATGATAACAAATTGGAAGCTGTAGCCTGTAGCTCGTCGTTTTCAATGACATGCAACATGGAAACTATTTCTATTAGAATTAAAAAAAAAAAACACAAAATAAACAAAATCTTTGAAGTTTTCGATAATTACAAATTTATATTATAATCGTATAAATAAGTGTTAGTAGAGCGTTATAAGGTGTTACTTGTGTTTTTCATTCTATGCTTAACTTTCGTTAATTAATAATTTATAATTATGTATAAAATGCTAATTATAATTAAGTTTTATGCAGTTAGAATGACATAGTCTTACAAAAATTGTCTCAGTTTCTCTGTTAAATGTATGTTGCTTGTATGTATGTATTTGTTCTCGTGTTAACGTACTAATGTAACAATAATTAATTAAATAAAAAAGGTAAATGAAATATAAAAAAAACCTACTTAGAAAGGCATTTACAACGCCACGCAAAAGTATTTAAGACATAAAATGTCAAGCTTACAAAAAATAACTTCTTTCAGTAAATTTACGCAAATCGAATTACAGAAACTTCAATTCAAATAACATGAAATGTATGTGAGCGTTAGCAGTTATACTAAATTAAATGTTTTTCACGCCTTCAACAAAATGTTCACATTATTTTTATATGAAACTAAAAAATGTTCAACACTGGCGCTTTGCCAGAAAAGCGCGCAAATGTTTATACAATTTCCGCAATATCAGTTTCTAATACAATTACTTAAGCGATATCAATTACATCAAATGACAAAAAAATAACGTTTTCGTGTAATATTATTTATAATCCTTTTCATTGTTTAAACAGAACGCATTTAGCCTTCGCTTTTGCTTTGCCTTTTGTATTTCGTTTCTCTTTGCGATTAACGCTCACTTTATATTAACGTAGTATACTTTAGTGAATTTCCTTCGCTCACTTTACGCTTAAGAGAAATTTTTAAATATATAATTAATTTATATACATATATATGTATGTATATGTAAATTTAATATGTACGTATGTATAACCTGCAGCTAAGCAGGTGTGTACGTGTAACTGGTCTGTTTGTGTTACCTAGTATTTGAATTATGTACTAAATTTTTCTGTCGATCATAGTTGTTTATCTGTGTATGTGTGTATATAATTTCTTTTGTTTTTGTTTTTTCATTAAAGTGTTTTAAGTTCTAATTTCATCACTTTCGCGTAAATTAAATTAATTCTTCTTTAATCAGTTTCCTTTAGCGGCTTCTTTGGCCGCCATAATCAGAGGCGTTAAACTAGCCAATGGACGTGCTAATTTCAGGAAAGAATGCTGTAAGAAAAAAAATAACAAAAAATCATTTTAATAAATGAAAGAGGGTTAGTTGTGGCAAGCAACATACCTTCAGCAAATCGTGCGCACTTGCTCGTCTCTCGACATCAACCTCCAAACACTGATCTAGAAAATCTTGAAATACTGTCGATAATTTTTCCTTCTCCTTTATTTCCGGCTTGCCGTTCGTGGCAATGAGGTACAAGGCTTTTAATGGATTCTCGTTCAGATAGGGTGGCTCACCCTCAACCATTTCGATTGCCATAATACCAAGAGACCACAAGTCAACCTAGGCAGAACATATGTAAGAGAAATTAGTTTGGAAATTGAATTGATTTGCAATTTGAAACTAATGTTTTTTCACGAAAGGTTTTTAGTGCCTATTTAACTGTTTTCAGCTTGCAATTTTGCAAAATTTGTATGCTACAATCTCCGGCTAAGAACAATTTTAGGAACATTTGCACTAAAAACTGTTTCTAAAACCACATCAGCGAAAAAGTAAAAATTGCGAGCATTGCGCTCCTAAATGCATGCAATATTCCAGTAGTTAGAAGCGAGTATTTGTTGTTTTTAACTCACCTTTGGTCCATACTGTTTGCGCGTTACCACCTCGGGAGCCATCCAGTATGGTGTTCCTACCATGGTTGTGCGTTTCGACTGTTCCGGCGAGATTTGCGCACAGAAACCGAAATCGGTCAGCTTCACTGAGCCATCCAGTCCGAGCAATATGTTATCACTTTTGATGTCACGATGTATCACCTGATTGGAGTGAAGGAACTCCAATGCTTGCAGCACTTCGCGACATACCGCCGCAATTTGACCCTCATCCATGCACGTTTCCGTGACAACATCGGTTAACGAGCCCCCAGGCAGGTACTCCATCACCACCCATAGCTCCTCAGATACCAGATAGCTGTCCAAATAATTCACTACATTTGGATGCTTATTCTCTCGCATCACCAGAATTTCGTTGATGATCAGCTCCTTTTTCGGCTGCTGCGATAAGTTCATCTGTTTAATGGCTACCTCCATGCCGGTAGAGGACTCAATTGCCGTGTACACGGTGCCCGAGGCACCCTGTCCGATCTTTTCCATCTTCGTGTACTTGCGATTTGGATCGCCAACCGAAACGATGGTACGCAGCTTTTCCAGTATTTCCTCATCGGACATTTTCTTCTTCTTGGCGGTACCAGAACGTGGCTGTGGAGTCGCCGCAGTGCTCGGTGCCACCGCTGATGGTGTCACCAATTGTGCTGGAGTGGTGGTGCCCTGTTGCTGTTGCGCCACTGCTGCTGCTGGTGAGCCGGTTAAGCGTTTGGTTGTTGGATCGGTTGAATAAATATCTGCAGTTGATGCGTCGCCAACCGCCGCGGCGAATGGGTTCACGTTAACGCCAACGGCAGCGGCAGCAGCAGCAATATCACCAGTTATGGGTGTAGCCGGTGTGATTGTTGTTGTTGTGACAGTTGTGGGCGTTGGTAGTGGAGGTGGTGGCGTTGGCATAGCCACAGATTCGCATATCGACGATGTCACCGAGGGACAATAGATGGGTGGCAGCAGCGACACATCGTCGTTAAATGATGGAAACGATGAAAAGGAGGAAGCAGAAGAATCGTGATTAGTCGTCGTTGCATTACAATCGATAAATTGCAAATGAGTGCTAGCAGTGGAGTTAGTACTTGTTGTAGTTGTGTCAACTGTTGCAATGTTAGTAGTAGTAGTAATGGTAGAAGTAGAACAAGAACCAATGACACCAATAATACTCGTATTACTACTGAGATTACTGGCAATGGTCGTCGACGTAGTCAACGTTGTGGTTAGATTACAAATAGAAGTCGATGCATGCGTAGCGACAGGCTCAACATATTGCTGTGGCAGAGGCGGCGCAGTCACAACGCATTCGGACGTTGCTGTTGCTGACTTTGCTGCTGCTGCTGCAGACGAAACAGAAAACGAGAAAACACAAACAAAACAGACAAAACGACGAACGAAACAGAAGCAGACGATACGCAACATTCAAGTCAGTTAATAGTTCGTTAATTTTTTTTGATTTGATAATTGGTAGGTAAAGGATAGATAAAAAATTATGAAAAAAAAAAATTAAAAGCCTTTAAGGTATAAAAAATCTACAATGACCCGCAAAAATATGCGAATGATGATTCAATTTAGTAATACATTAGCAATTATCTACCAAACTAATGTTTTTATTATGTACATACATAGATAGATATAATGGAGGATGTGCACTGCAATCTTTAGTTATTTGAGTCCCAAAACCTCACCACAATACTATGTTAGTTGCCTGAGCTAGTTTCTAGCATATTCATATGCAATCGCAACCTCGATGCCTTGAGCTTATCTTTGGATGAGTGACTAGTTTCCTAAATCTCTCGGAATTCTTATTTCCTATATATTTTTTTGACCTGTCGTGGCCCAAGCGAGTTCTCACAATGCGATCTTCTAAGTTGTCGCTCCTTTGTTCTTAACTCTTCTACGCTAGTATGTAGTCACTCTCTTAGTCTTCTCCTTGCCCTGTATGTCTTAAAAGCATGGCGCCCACATTCATAAGTTCTATTGTATTGTGTTTGCCTAGAGTGTTTACACTCCCATATCTTTAGGTGTATGGATGAAAGGGTTTTTTCTAGAATCTTATGTTTCCTGAACATGCTACCTCATTTGGACTAGCAGTTGGTAATATTGGTTAAAACGTCCTCTAGTCTTCTTGAAATCTCTCTACTTAGTTGTTGTTGTTGCAGCAGCATACAAGTTCCCCAAAGAAATTTCGGGGAGTGTTGCTGGAGTGACAGTCCTTGGCCAGATATAAATCTGGGTCGTTCCGGTTACGTAGACCCGACTGTCGTGGGAACGACTATTATAAAGAAAAGTCCTCTAGTCTTCTTGAAATCTCTCTGCTTATGCCCTCATTAAGAGACCCCTCTGCGGTCGGTTCTATGCCTATGCGTTGTGGCGTTAGGTCGAGGATTTCTTCCAATGCGTTGGGCCAATTGCGCCTGACAATCGTTATTTTGTGACGCCAGCTGCTGATGCCTGATAGCGATCCTTTCGTACAGAATATCATGGGAGCAGGCGCCGTGCAGCCTCCACTATGTTGTTATCGTCGTTGTCTTCTGCTAACGGAGCCACTGCTCCTCTGAAGCGGGTATTCAGAAGCGCTAGAGCCTTTTCCTGTTAGAAGTTTTATTGACATTTGGCCTTTTTAAATATTTGCTAAGACCTGGCTGCCTACGCACCCCTACAGCTACAGAGTTCTCTAAAATATGTCTCTTGGCTTTGCAAATATCTTTGTTGTAGCTGGTTAGGGTTGGATCATATTTATCCCAGTTCTATCTATGTACTTACATACGTTTATACATATTATGTATGTATTTATACAATTGGTGTTGGTGATTGATGGTAGTGTCGTTAAGCAGTGGATGAGAAAACGAGGATGTGTGTGCTGGATATGCTAATTACACGCGTGCCAACAAAAATGCGCGTATATTTTTATCTGCCAATCACAACAAATGTTTGTTCTACATAAAATTTTTTTTAATTGGTGGAAAATTAAATTTTGACTGCGGCTGTGGTATTTCATATTCGCCAACGTACGAAAAAATATCGCGGTGCGTGTTTTGTTGGAACGCGTGTAGCTCGCAAAATGCAATTTCATCTACTAACTAAATTATTTACAACAAAAATTCGAATCAGTAAACAACAAAAAACCAAAACACTAATGCTATGCTGTAATTACTTTCGTTATTTTTGTTCTTATCCAACGTTGTTGTTACAGCTGTTGTTGCTGCTGGTGCAGTGGCGGCAGCGCTTGCAACGCTAGCGGCTGTGGTTGCCGTAATTGCGTTAGTCGGCGTGCGGTATTGTTGCTGTTGCGGTTGCGCCACATTATTCTGGTGGTGGTGTTGGTGTTGGTGCTGATGCTGTTGTTGTTGAATTTGTTGATGTTGCTGGTGCTGATGCTGGTGCAACGGTGTAGGAGTGGCCGCAGCCGCTGCACGCAAATGGTCGATACTCTCCAATACTCCACTCACGCCTCCACCAACACCCTCAATTGGGCGCGTATAGATTGATTTCGTACGTTCCGGTCGTGACGCAATCGGTGGTGGCGCCGGTTGTGGCGCACCGAGTATGTCATCTTCATTGGCGGACGAATGTTGCGAAGATGAGGAGGCAGTATTGCCACCAAAATTATACGAATGTGATTGACTTAAGGCGCCGCCAGCGCTGCCGCCATGTGACTGTTGATGGTGATTGCCATGTATGGATTGTACACCACCAATGCTGTTGCCCAATTGTCCAATCAATCCCACATTATTTGCATTAGAATTGACATTCGGACCGCCCAGACTTAGGTTGCTTAGGTTAACGCCAATCAAATTGCCACCACTGTTCGAGGCGTGCAACTCAGAATCGGTTGGAGTGCTGCTGGGACTGCTGCTGCTCACACGACTTAGTGAGGAGCCTATAAAATTAAGATTTGTATGGTTAATAAAGTAAAATGCAGATATACACAGCCATGCATATGTACATAGTACATGAAGTGTGCTGCTTACTTACCTGAATGCGTCGTAATGGCATTTGTCATGTACTTGGAACTTGGCCGCTGCTTTGTTGTATTGTCAAACCACTTGAGCACATCCAGCACAGCTTGTGGATTATTTTTCTGTTCTTGCTTGCTGATGTTCGAGTTCATCAGCAGACGCGCCCATGCCTCCGGCATGCCCTGTAAACATAGGAAAAAACAATTGACTTTAAAAAACAAGTAAAACCAAAAGTGCGGCTAAATTCTATATTTGCAATGCGGCTTGATATACATTGTAATCGAAAAATGTGCGTGCTACTAGCCGAACTAAAATCAGTTGTTTTTGATTCTTTTTTGTGCATACGACTAGAAACATACATACAAAGATAGAGTGTTCGAATAAAAGATAATTAAAAGGTAAGGTAAAGTAATTAGCTGAAAAGAAAACGAAAACTATGCACAACCCCAAAAGCGTCTGCTTTGCTAAAGCCACTGTAGAGTTTTTAAGTAATAAGCAGCTAAAATATTTTGCCAACCATTGTCAATAGCTAAGTGGTACTGCAAAAAATATAATTACATATGCACATAAATATACCTAGGCCTACTGTTACCCACATTTTTTTTGGAAACACGATAATCATACGTGATTCGAATACATAATTTTAGAATTGAATTCGCATTTTATGGACGAAAATGATTACCAACAAAAATACGAAAACGACTTCACGTTTATAATAAAGCGGATGTGTGCATGTACGTATGTACATATTTGTACTTTTTATTAAAGTTTTAAAGGATAAGTTTTTTTTTAACTTAAACTTACTTTTAAAAACTATTATAAAGAAAAAATTTGTATGAAATGAAAATAAGCTTCCGCTTTGTTAATTAACTAATGTACATACATACATACATCTATTTCAAACCCCGATCATGGAATTGGGAAATGGTAGAAACAAGTTCACCCAAACATATGGCCTACTCTTCTAAAAAGAGGCACAACTCAAAAATCAGATTCGGAAATATAACTGCTTTGGGATCGCACAGATTTTACGCAATTAATGCAAAAAATAGTAGTTTTATAGTGAAAATAATGACGTAAAAAAATTGACTTGCATTTTTTGGTCAGGTTAGGTTAGGTTATTGTGGCAGACCCCACGAGGGGGACTCACACCATTATTTAATTTTCCATTGTGCTACCACATTACACAAATTCTTCGAACGGCAACTTTGTTAAACTAAGAGAAGCGCTGAGTGCTCACAACAAAGTTCCGCAGGCAGCTAATTTCCACTCCGGAGAGCTTTTCGGGAGTGTTGATGAAATTCGCACCGAGGGGCTTAAATCTTAGTCTAGCGAATGTTGAGCAGCTGAGTAAGAAGTGCTGAGATTATTCCACTTGGTGTTCCAGACAGCTGCGGCAGTAGGGATCCGTGACGATATTGAGTCGCACCGCATGGGTCCCTAAAGGATAATGTCCGATCGGTATACCTGTAAGAATCGAGAGCTGGGGAGCTTAACGAGCTTCCCTTGACCACCGGCGGTCAACAACCGGGCAGAAGGACATAGCAACTTTGCATGTCCGAGTTTTCGCGAGTGTGAGCCTATCTGTCCAGGAACAGGCCGCAGGTTGCCAACGGAACTCATATTCTCCCTCTGTCCAGTAATGCCACTGTGCTCTGGGACCCATATCAGCTTGATTTGGAAGTATTCCGAGGCGGTTAAGAGAGAGGTCAGGCATTCCCGACTAGTTTCGATTAAACCATTAGCGCTCCCAGCGCCCTGATTGCCGTCCAGCTGCGATGCGTCCGTGAAGATGTTTATTGGACCTTATTGCAGAGACTAACATTCTTCCATTCGTCCCTTGGAGAGATGTGCGTGGAAAAGGATTCTTTTGGGGCCAACCTCGGAATACTTCCGCCCATTTCTTCCGGCAGGAAGTCAAAGAATTTAAGAATTGTCGAATTCCGCACGCTGGGTTGAAATTTTTGTGCAGTTGTGTGCGATATAACGAAAAGAGTAAACAGAAACATCCGAAGAGCACTATAAACTCTAAAGATGTTTGGATATTAAGCTGTGTAGTGTACACTTGGCAAAACTGGGAGTTGCTTACTCTGAACAGTGTAGGTTAAGTCACGTGGAACAGTTAACTGCAGAACACATCAACGTATTTAGTAGCACCCAGTCAAGGTCCCCTAATATGACTAAAAAGTTAGAGTAGTTCACTTACCTCCATAGACCACAACGTGTAGAGGGATATTCAACGTAAGCACACCGATATTTTTTGGACAACTTTGTATTTTTTTGCGATTCAATGCCCAGCCGAAACTTGGCAAAAGCTTTAAATTTATAAAACAAAATTGGCTGTGTTCAGAAATACATCAAGCCAAACCATCAGCCTCTATATTTCCAAACCAAAGGGATGGAAAGGCCTTATTTGCGCAACTAAGTTCCAATTCGACATATGTATGTACATATAACCGTGGTTACGTACATTCGAAATTTTCATCGACTATAGTTTAGAAATAAAACAGACTGATACTGTGGTTTGATTCATTTCTGAACGCCATGTGAAACATACTTATGCCGAATTCCCACCAGGCATTGAAAAATGGCATGTGTAAATGATTTGATGACTTTTATTGTTAACGTAATGTCACGCCATATCATATGCCACGACCAAAGATCTCTAACTAGGCGATAGGCGATTTCAATGCCTGTGTGGGCAAGGATGGGATCTCTTTCATCGCTGGAATATCACTCGAAAATTTTACCCTAAAGTGAGCGACTTTAGGAAGGTTTTGATGAATACGTTTGAAATATGTAGAGATCGCTTCTTCATTATGCGATCATGTGTGACCCAAGAATAAAAAGACTGCCGGAGGGAATTATTTACCAGCTGAGCTATCTAAATCAGTGACGGAGAACGCATTCAAGTTTTGGTTTAGTTCTTCACGGGTAGGAAATGTAATGTCAAGAACGTTCTCACAAATGAGACAAATGGGAACATAAGTATTGATAGCAGTTTGAACGGGAACACAACGAGAATAAAATGTTCGGGAACGTTTCCGTAAAAATAAAATGCGAACAAAACTCTCGGAAACGTCCCTCAGAAGAACAGACTCAGAACGAAACGTCCGGGGACGTTTCCAATGCCAACAAAATAAGAACGAAAGTATAGAGAGTGTTTTCAAGGAGGATGAAATAAGAACAAAAGTCTGTTCTGCTGCAGAACAAAATGAGAACAAAAGTTTTGATAACCTAACGATAAGAATGAGAGGGGCGTCTGCTTGTTGGGATGAAAAACCGTTTCGGTGAGAACCACGATTGTTAATTCTAAGCCAGAGGAAAGCTGGATCATTTCAACTTCCAGATCGTTTATCATTAGCGTGAACTGTCCATTTATGGAACAATTTTTCTGTGGAAGAAAAGTTCGTGTCTTAACTATTTCGTTGACTGGTGTAGTGCATGCCTGAGCTTACATATTTATGCTCATATGTATGTATGTGCAAATTAACCTACAATAAAAGGACTTTTCAGACTGACTGATTCTCAATACACTCAAACAAAAACCAATACACATAAAAAACGCTGTACAAATTTCCCTTCAATTTTAAGGCAGTAAAACAGGGAGCTTAAGTTAACATCAACCGAGGCCATATGTTGAAAAGGGATGCAAAATCACATATACACAAAAGACACGATGTAGCGACAGTCTACAACTACCCAGCCAGCAAGGAAACGTACATTTTACGAACATTATCTTTTACGAGGGATTCTCGAGCGGCGAAAGCTTTGAGAAAGGCTCGTAAACTATAAAACAAAAAAAAAAGTAAAAGAAAGAGGATTGTAGTAATTTGTCAGCACAAGAAAAAATTTTCATTGTTAGAAATTTTTCTGGAACCACAATATTTTATAATATATAATATTCGCATACGCATGCTTTTCGATCCGTTTACGACTGTTCGTAGGCGCTGGACAATTTCAAGCGAAAAAGTACTCGAAATCGAATCGTAAACGGCTATCATAAACGACTTTTTAGCGGGTTTTTCTTCGAGAAAATATCCAGTTAAGAGCTCGTTTACGATGACATTGCTGGCTGGGTAATAAAAAGCTTAAAATTTTGATGAATATTTTTTGAAGTTTGATTAAGTTTTGTGAACTTCGTGCAATTTTTTAAATTTTTTTTCTGTGGTTTCTGTTATAGACCGCAATATATTTTAAATGAAAACTCTTAAAAAAAAAAAAAAACACAAGTTGCCACCTATTTACAAAGATAAATTCAATGTATGAAATAGGTAAAATCAGTTACTACAATATGAATATCAATCAAAATAGCTTTGAAAAAACTGTATTTTAAACTACATGTGGGAGAGTTGCCACTTGTTTTGAGAACGTAAATCAACTTTAATTAAGAAAATAAGATAATTTAAATATGTATCGCAATATGAGTGTCAGATAAAAAAGGATTAAAAAGGTTTTAATAATAACACTGTACAGCACTTGGTTGGGTATTGGACCAAACCAACTTTTTTTAAGACATTGAGTCATAAGTAAAAAAAGTAATTTCTCCGTTTTTCGAATCGCCGAACGGCGATTGTATTTTTATGAGCAGCTGGTTTTCAAGACAGAAACACACTCGGAGGTTTGTCATTGCCTGCCGAGGGGCGAGCGCAGTTAAGAAAAAACCTTTTTCCTATATCTTTTTTTGGACTGTTGCTTTGAACAGGGCTTGAACCAAGGCTCTGCGGAGTGGAAGCGCGCACCAAGGCTTGAATTAAAGGAATTAAATAATTTGAATATGTATATTTGGGTGTCACACGAAAAAGGTTTAACAAGGTTTTAGTAAGAAAATATTTTTAATATTCATTATTTTGCCATCTGTTTAAAAAGCTGAACTTATTTAAATTAAATCATACAAAAATTAACTGTATGAAATATTAAAATATGGGTGTTAAACGAAAGAGTATTAGGAAATACTTTTCTTGAACATTAAGAATATTAAAAAGGGCTGCCACCTGTTTAAAAAATGGGTTTAAAATTCAATCAAATAAAATCAAAAGCAATGTACAGTTTTTAACCTGAATATGCTCTTATTAATATCGTGTTTAAGTTTAGCGGCTGTGGCTCCGACACAGCCCGCAGGTTAAGACGAAGGCGCTGGACTGATTCTTTTTTGTTTGCTTGCAAGGTGGTACGGTCGAAT